CATAGAGTGCAACGCAGTCAAAGCTAGCGCACCCGTTTGCATTGCTGACCGTGCCTATGTTCGCCCCATAAGATAGTGCGTCCCCTGCAAAAGAATTTTAAAAAGTCGGAAAATGTGCCTCCTTGGGGCTAGTAACTGATAGCGGCGTTATGATTTCAACGGAGCACAAATGTTTTTCAAGAAAAAGGAAAAGATAATGTAAACAACCTTAAATTGTTTTCCTGTTCATCCGTGTGGCAGCCGCTGTGGGTTTTCGGGTTGTGTGGCACTGGCTGGTTTTGAGAAGATGGGGTCTTACACATCAAGCTCAAGTACCTCTCCTGCTCGGATGTTTTCGAAGATTCGTTGTCCGAAAATCTTGAAAGAGTGCAAGCAGATGATCGCCAATGTGCACGGGAGTATAAGAACACATTCCCCGGAGGATTCGGTCGTGAAGTCCTGGAGACGGCCAGTAACGACACTGGAGTGTGCCCTGTACTGTCGCGAAGTGCAAGGCGCAGTGCCTATCTGGCAAGGTGGCGTCCCCGAAGCAAAGACCTCGCAACGTGAAAGTTTCGAGCACGGGGACCGTCAAGCATGACGAGTTCACACAGAACGCCATTCGCCTGAAGGTGCATCGCAAGTGCTCCGAGAGGGAGATTCCTACACTTGACAGCTATTTCAAAATAAACTGTACAGGCCACAACTATTGTCAATTAACGTCTAATTATAAATTTTGGGACAAGGCCGCTATAAGGGCGATTCCTCATTCCACGCTGCACGAAAGAAAAATATAACTCGGTGCTGGAGGCAAATAACACTTGCAAAGCGGCAGACCAGATGGTAGAAACCTGGCCTCTCGGCGACTTATAAATAAAAATCAAGGAGGAGGAACTGAAATATGCACTTCGTCAATGCGCACAATCTTGCACAAAAAGTATGTCTAAAAAAGAAGAAAAAAACCAAAAAACTTTGCGCGTAAAATGGGTTCGAACCACGGCCACCGAGACGTCAATATCGCCAGAGCAGAGCCTTCTCACTCGTCCACGAAACACGCGGAGTAACACTTTTTCTATTTTTTCATGCGCACCACTTTAGTACCTTTGACAGCGTCGCACGCTAAGTATGAAACAGAGTATAAGACACCCTATTGTCTGGTACAGAGACCATTTATGAACGCTTGGGTGTTTAAACGATGTACTACACATTTTACAAAACGAAAAAAAAAAACATTGGGTCTTTAAACGTTGTACTACCCTTTTTTCAATAGAAAAAAGCAACAATAAAAAAAACACATTTCAGAAGAAAAAGTTAAGGAAACGGAATGTACCATTATGTTCAGTGAAGTTTGGTGACAAGACTCGGGACTCGAGCAGGAATGCAGTTATCCTTGCTGTGACCCCATGAGACTGTCTTGCTGCCTTTGCTGGGGTTTATCTAACTGAAGTACCTGTACGAAAAGTAGAACACATGTGCATAACACTCATTATTCACAAGAAAATTTGTCAATGTCCAAAATGACCCATGAAGAAAATTATGCGAAGAATTTTCAGGCTGCGTTGGCCGAGTCACCTCTCGTGGCCAATGTTTCATAGCAACTTTAATTATAGTAAACAGTTATAGGGTATATTACGAACAAAGTGCAATTTGGTTTTGTAGGAAACTATAACACACAAAACGACACTTGAATACAGTATGTGGAGGTACCTCTAAACAAACTCCAGGGTTTCATGGCGCCTCCTTCAGATACCTGATGTTGAACATGAAATATGTGCACCAAGGAGTGAGCAAACAGCGACTTCAGATTTGTCTCTAACACCAGCGACATGTCGACAAGGAGTGCAACGTGTTGTAGGTCGTCTAGAAGTGTGCCAAGATGAAAAAGCAAGATGTAACGATATCAGAATAAGATCACACCAACGAGGCACCATTGTGGTGAGACAATCTACGATGTAGAGACAGTAATCGGGAGTCAACCGACGTACGGCCGCGATTTACTTTGCGGCGACTGAAATGAAACATGGCAAAAAAAAAATTTGAAAATTAGAAGGTGCGTTTTTTTTTACCTTATTTGTTGAGCGCAGCCGGTAGCAGAGCAGTTGGGCGGCGTCACGAAAATCTGACAGACTCGCTAGCTTTTCTCAACTTCGTACGGCGCCAGTCGGCACCACAGATGAATGGTCGGCACTCTTAGTCTACCAGGGAAGAAAAAAGTACGAGCTCAGAGCCCAGCGTCGATCGCGACTTTCGTAAAGAGAAGCTCCAGTAGCACTTCGGCGACTCGTGAGCGTTAAACAACGCCTCTTCGAACGAGCCCACGAATCCAACACGTCGAACGGTTTGCGCCGGTAAGCACGCTGGGAGCCAGGGGGCTGGAGGTTGAATATCCGAAAGAGACGAGGCGCTGGTTTCTACGTCTATTTCGCACATGAGATAACAAGCCGAGTGATAGCTAGCTGAGTGTAAACACTGAGTGACGTTACATCAGAGTACACGCAGTCGAAATGACGTCTGCAACAGAGCACAGCCAGACGCTTTCAGCAGGGGACGCATGCGTTCAAATAAGCTGCGATTTCCAAACATCATGTCTCCCTTCTGTCCTCCAGTGTTCACTTTGATCTGTGTATACCAAAGCACTCAATGCTGCAAGTAATAAAGTCGTCTATACGTACCTTTCGAAGCGATTGAAAGTGCGTTGGTTCCACTTGGAACCCACAAGCAAAGTGCGCGACGAACTTGACGAGATGTTATCCGTCGGTCCCGCCATCGCCGCCGTCTCGCCGGGTTGGCGCGGTCGCGCGGTCGCGGTCGCAGGAGGTGTTGGGTCGCTGCGCAATGGCGCAATCGCGCAATCTCGGCGGCTCGGCTAGGCTTGGCTGGATCGGTGGATTCGGCCACTCGGCGGCTCGCTCAGCCGCTCGTCTGGCTCGATGGGCTACTCGCGGCTCGCTCGGCTCGCCTCCCTTCGGAGTTCGAACTGCCTCCGAAGCTCGAGCTGCTCGAGCGCTCGAGCTTTCGCGCGCGCGGGTTGACGATGGAAACTGTTCTCATAAAACGAGTCTGTAACGTATCGTTTGATGGCGCAAATGCACGTATTTTTCCCGTCGTTTTTTACAGTGTGTGAATCTTGCGAAACAGGCGACGAAGAGTGGTGGGTGAAATGTGCTCGTGTGTGGTTGTGGATTTTGTATACGACGTAGGATTACCCAGAAAGGTGGGTCAATATCGTTAAATGTGCGGGTAAGAAGCACGTGACCTGTCAAGCCCATTAATCCTCATTATTTTATCGTGCGAACTGACATTGTCACGTATCGCGTTCGATTTGGGTTCCAACATCGGTAACCTAACTTTTGTTGCATTAAAACTGCAATAAACATTTGTTTGAAAACGATCACTCCAATGAGCACGTCGTTATTGGGCTTTCTCATTGAAAGGTAGTTCGCGGGTGTCCCAGCTAGTTATTCTGAATGGTTTGGTGGTTGTCTAGCATTTCAAGCGCTCGAGGCTGTGTGTACTGTGTGCCGTACGTACACTTGCGCTTTCGATCAATGTGAATGTGTTTGCAACGCGGAACGTTTGTGTTCTGTGTGTATCCACCTCCAATATCGTTCTCTCTCGTATTGCCGTATGGTAACTTTTGCTGTTCTACGATATCATTCACGCGATGTCGTATATGTGGGCGTACCGATATCCACATGTTGCTTCACGGGCGAGCAATACTGTGTTACGTATCCTCTCAGTCCGCGGTATATGCCGACGTAATTCATGTTGGTAACTTGGAATTCGTTCTGAGATTTATCCATGCGATATTGTATTCTCCTTTGGGCCCGTGATCGACGACCGATATTTATATATCGTGTGGCCGCACAGTATGTCCATGTCGGTCACCAATATGCACGCGGTGTCGTATTCTATTCCAATAACCGTAAGTTCTGTCGGGATATTGTGCTTCGATATCATGTTGTATACGAATAACCGCAAGTTATATCGGGATATTGTGCTCCAATATGCTGTTGTATACCAATAACCGCATACTATATCGGGATATTGTGCTCCGATATGAATTCCCATCGTGCGTATTGGGTTAATCGGATAACAATAAGTTTTTATTGGTTTCCATCAACTTCATTGGAATACAATATTTCCAGTAAGCCGAGTTCATATTGGCCTTTTTCAATAGGGGTGCTTTTAAGTTTGGGAATGTTCGGCATTATGTGTGGTCTGTCCAAACTAGTTAGCCAGTTCCATTGGGTGCGCTTTTAACCATACACTTGTGCACCACAGAGAGGTGGTACCCACAGGTTTCACACTGTGATTATGCATATCTCGTTTCGCTGTAGCAGAGCCACATGCTTGAGAAGGGAAGTTATCATTTAAACATATGGTCCACATGTCTTTGAATAAACAGGGAAGTTGGGAAATGATAATCTGAAGATTCTAAGTAGCTGTAAAATTATAAAAACCAAGTGGTTTGCTAGCGCAGGGTCTCCTAAAAAGTTCACGCACTAAAATGGCACACAAACTTGAACATATACATTATTTAGTGCATGGATTAAATGATGGAGATGTTAGCATTGTCAACACCCGTGCGGACATATCAAGTAGTAATATTTCTCGGACAGATATATTACTAGTTAGATTTACAAGTTAGAATAAACATAAAAATCTTTATGTGAAATGCAATTGTTGTGAATAAGTAAACTACACAATTTTTGTTCCTGAACTTTGACACTAGTGGTAACACAGGGGTGGGAAAGGAAAGCAGGCATTGTCTTCTAGTTTTGACAGGCAAACAGATGAATCTTAATGTAGTATTCACAACAGAATGAATGGGAAATGTGCTTTCGTGTTTCAAAACTTCCTTTTGCTGCTAGAAAATATATTTTTAGCTGGTCCAGAAGAGCTCCGAAATTACTCTGACCGTTTACATCACATCAGCAGTAGCTTGAAGTTACTTTCCTTGATTTTTCCAGTCTGTGGTTTTCTACCCATTCTGTTCTGTTTGAATATGTCTGTTGAAGGTCGGTCATCCAACGTGGGAACGAGGCATGCAACATGGGGCTCAGGCTCATTCAGCACAAGGTCTTGGCACCAGGAAGATTTCAGCAGCCATAAGCAATGGCACATGGGTCTAAATTTGGTGAGTATGGCAATTATCGAGCATCCAGCTGCTTGTATGACAAAACAATTGGCGGGGGGGGGGGGGGGCACTTATGCTCGGCCTTAGTGTATGACGGGATAGCGAGAGGGCAGGGGCTGGAGGGGGAGAGGGGAGGTGGGGGCAAGGGCAGGGAGGGCAGCAGTGGGGAGGGGGGGATCCTACAATTCCTTGCGTGCACAAGTTATCATGGAATTGCATGGGATTCCCTATGCGCGCAAGACATCGAGGGGTTTTCTCGACATGCCGACGCTGGACGCCGGATCTTTTGCTGCTTGGGAGCATTAACACTATTGGGTTAAAACGTAAGTTTTCTCGCTTCACTCAAAACTCGAGCATAGCTTTACTACGCGGCCTATAGTTACATGAAAAAATGTCTATGTGATGCTAGAAATGAGACATGGTTAGCATGCAGTCATATATTTTAGGATAAATGATGCCACACTGTAGGTATAATTGATATTATACATGGCAAATATAGGTCGATGAAATGAGAAGTATGTAAGTGGCAGCTGCATCACAAGCTGTCCATATTTATTTTGGATATCATCTCAAAATGAAATGCTGAGCACACTGCTTCAACCATTTGCTTATCTGCAATGACACTTGGCACAGGTGTTGTATTGCAAGCTAAGCCTGCTGAGCTAAGCCTGACTATTTTTTCGGTAAGCCTGCCGTTTTCAGCTCGCCCTAATGCAACCGGCCACGACTATTCATATCTCTTAAGGTGGGAACATGTCAGAGAAAGATTAATGATGCCTTTTCATTAGTGCACGGTGGCAAGAGCATTGCAGTTTCTGATGGTTGGGAAAGCTTGTTCTACGTTAGTGCCCAAAACACTCAACCAGCTTAACTAGTTGAAGAGGACGAGTAAATTTCTATGTGTGCTGCTTAATTAATGTCAACCCCTGATCTTGAAAACAAACTCACTCGGCTCTTAAGTTGAGAAATCTCTAGTAAGTGAATATTAGGCTTTCCCATAAAATAGCTGTATTTTTGTGCAGCACTCTGCCAAACTTTGCGCATATCCTCATTCATTTGCCCAGAATATCGGGGCTCTGCAGGAATACTGAAATGGTATTCAAGAAAACCAGAATACTCGTACTACATGGCTATTATATAGCTACTGAGTTATAATGAAGTTTGACTTGATTAGGAGAAGTTAAGCTATAGGGGGGAGGGGGGTATTCAGTTGTCACATAAAGCTTCTTTCAAACATTGTAAGCAATATCGGCATCATTAGTTTCTTTCTACAGGAATAAAGCGTGGCTAGCATTATACAACATATCTGTTAAATTAAACTAACATATCTGTGGCTAACATTATACAACATATCCGTTAAATAGTATATACAAGTGCTCATTGTTGGGCGAGTTGGTATTGTACGTGAGAAAACATGATTGCGCTTTAAGAAAAGGACAGAGGAAGAACATACACAACAGAGCGCTACACCACATCATCTACTCAGCACCACAGCAGACTCCCATGACCGCCAATCCTAACTGCCGAACTTCGGCAAATATGCAAATATTTTTGCCGAAGTGCTCTGCCAGATTAAAATTGAATATATGTTTTATTTAGACATGAGAAGAACAGCACACAAGGACGAAAACACAAAAAGAACACCGAAAAAAGCCGTTTACAAATCCCTGTAACGCCGAATCGGAGCGCAGCTCTTGAGGAGGAGCAGGGAAGGGTACTGAAGGGGGTCACGTCACCTGCGGGTAGTCACGTGACCCCGGGTGGTCACGTGATCTCGGGGGAGGGGGTCACGTGACCTCGGGGGGGTCACGTGACCTGGGGGTCACGTGACCTCGATGGGATCACTTGACCTCGGGGGGGGGGGGGTCACGTGATCTCGAGGGGGGTCACGTGACCTCGGGGGAGTGGGTCACGTGACCTCGGGGGGGAGGGGGTCACGTGACCTCGGGGGAGGGGGTCATGTGACCCCCCCCCCCGGTTACGCCGACGGCGACGCCGACGCCGCTCAGGCTGGAAACGGGCCCCTAAGAGCTGCGCTCTAAAAGACACACTCAAGCGCTCAGGCGTTGTCCTGAGCGCTTGAGTGTGTCTTTCTGTGTCTCCAAACTCAGGGCGCTGTCCTTGCACACGCTGGCTTGCCCGGGGCCCTGCCTCTTTCACGAATCAACGATTTGGAGTGGGGCTTGCCGAACGGGTCCACGGAGGGCTACGGTTAAGAAACATAAGGTGCGTACTCCACGCCTCCACCAGAATGTCACGATGGGGATTAAAAGAACGATAAATAAACGGGAGAAAATTAACGTTTACTGGGGCGAACTTGTGCCCAAAATAAAAAGGAGACAGAAGATAAGAACAGAGCGTTGCGTAACAGCAGGTTCGGGCGCTGGGGCGGCTTGCTAAGCAGAGGCCCCTTTTGTACACGCGTGTGCTTCTGGAACATTCGGCGTAGAAGGTTCGGTGGGCGGAACATTTTAACCTCGAATCAGCAAGACGGTTCTGGAATTTACCAGAACATCACATTACAGTGTTAACAAAAATGTCTAGATGCGGCAAGGAATCGAACCATGGCCTTCTGCGTGGAAGGCAAGCGCAATAACCGCTACGCCACGGGCGCGTTTTTTTTTTTTTTTTTTCGCGTTGGGTGATTACTGTTTTTTGTGTAAGAAACCTGAGTCAGTTGAGCATGTCTTCTTGGACTGTTGGGACGCTGTATTTTTCTGGGATGTGTTGCACCGTACTTTAAAAAAGGAGTTTCCTCTGGATTCCCATGGCATACGGTTTGTAGCCTGTGGGGGAATACTTTTCCGAGTCTGTCCCTTACATTGTCGAAGTTTGGAAGGTTCGATCAAATGTCCCAGAGTTGTCACCAACAACCGAGAACTGTTAAATGTCATTTTTTTGTAACCATGCCACTTCAGTCGGTAAGCGGTTGTCGGCACTTTTACAGTACTGTACTTTTTGGTTGCATATGTCAATGGCGGCAAAAAAAAAAAAATTACGCCACGGGCGCGCTGCCTATTTGGTCAGCTTCGTTCGCGGCAATATTTCATAGCGATGGAGCAGCAAGATATGTAGTTTCCAATAGCAAATATATTAACTTGACGGTAGATGTGACCTGACACGAATTATAGCCAGATGGAAGAGTTGGTAAACATTCGCAATGTCGAAACAGCAAACATTGAAAGGTGTTACAGCTCAGGTCAAGCAACAGGCAAAGAGCAGAAGGTGACAAGGAATTGCAACCGCCAGGGTCCTCTGGGGTTACAACCGCAACGAAGTCTCTTTAAACCGTGTTAATTCTGCTAGCGGTGCCTTGGCTCACGTTTCGTAATGACGTACTGTGCCTATCGTCAGGCACCCGTCACTACCTCGAAGTGCGCGAAGTTGACATGGGAAGGTCAGTTAGTCGAGCAGTACCGAATGACGCCGTGAGAAGGTATACGGTCTGATCCAGCTTTGACGACAGGGGGGCTCGAACCAAGGTGGGCTTTGACGGTGAAGCCTGTTGTATTCTTTGGGGTAATCTCGCTCTATAATAATCGCCGCCCGGTCGGTCTGTGCTTCGCTCGTCTCCCAGGGAGTGACACAACACACCGAGAAGACAGCGCATAAGTTTACTGTATTTCCCGGTTACCCGTCCTCGAGAGCCGGCAGTCCGGGCCCGCCGACCTTGGTTCTCACCCATCGTTCAGAGCTCGCAGTTAGAGTCCGTATCCAGGCCTGCAGATTGTCCTCTCAAGCCAGTGCTGCGTAGGCTAGCTGTCCCGAGCGATCATAGCCCGAGTCTCGCTGCGAAACCAAACCCGGGATCGACATGGCCTAGGCCGGAATGGCCAGGGCTCGCCGTTCCCACCTGTCCCGCTCCAAAACTTCGCTGGCGGACCGCTCCGGGGATCGCCCCGAGCCAGACCCCCCGAACGGCTTTATCGTTTTTGCCCGGCCCCAGCCTCACGCGGCACGTCTTGTCTTGCGCCAGCTGGTGATTCTTCGGCTAACCGCCTGTCACGTGCCCTCCGTCCCGTCGTCGTCCACCATCGTCTCTCACAAGCCTCAACAGAATGCTGAGGCTTCACTCAAACGTACATTAAGAAAGGTCTGTCTAGATAGACCTTCTTTATTGTCCGTCGCAAAAAGGTACATACTGCATACTCCCCAGTAGCAGTAGGTAGAATATGGTACAGACTTTTTCGTCACAATGGGCTTCAGTAACATGTTATGGTCCCGGTTGTTGCTTGGGTTCTCGAGCAATGACAGCCTTGATTGACACCTTCTTTCGCGAGTCTGCCTGAAACGCAGCAAAAGCGTGGTGGAAAAAAATGCAGTTCCTAAGTGCGGTTCACGCCTATCACCCCAAATGACCAAAGCAGCACCGGGATTGAAAGGAAGCACGACAGAGGTTTAAGCTATGGGTTGAATCATATCGTTTACGCCGTTCACGTTGTCTGTCTTGTATCAGAGCCATTTATCCTGAGAGAGCTTGGGATTACCTAAATCTAGCTAAAACAAGCCGATCTCGCGATAATACAAGATGGAAATTCGTTTTTGTTTTGCCACTCGACTATGAGCAAGCCAACATAAATTCTTGGTAACGAGTAGCGTTACGAAAACATTTCTCCTTAATTGGTATTTTGCTACGCCTGTAATTGATCACTGCTATCAAAGTCCACTAACTTTTTATCGATATCTAATATCAGAGCTTAAATAAACTTTTTTTTGTTGTTTTCATTCAAAGACATGTTTTCTCAAGCAAAGCAAGCCAGGCAATTTAGATGGACGGGTTCTGTTTCCGCTTCAATGACAGAAAAGCAACACGCTGCGCAGTATAGTGCCTCAAACAGTGTGCAGCGGTTAGCCAGAGTATTTTTATATTCCAGCTAACCGCTGCAGATGAGGAGGATACCCGTAAGGATGGCGCTTAGCCTCATGTAATGATTGGGTGAGGCCGGTGTGGACACCAGATAATAAATCGCCATTTATAGCCTACGTGTCAAAGGAGGAATTTCTTCCGTCTTGCTTCTGATATCAGCTACTTGGTATCCCACGAGGTACCCCATAAATAGGGGTGTTATCCGAGTAATCAGCCGCATGGTTTTCCACGAGGCATTCCACAAGTAAGATTGTTATCGAGTTCATCGACAGTGGTGACATCCCGCTGAGCGTCCTGATCGCGCCTGGATTGCAGGCCTGAAGTCTATGGGCAACCTGCGTGCTCAAAGCCCGTATTACGACTGTTCAGGTTGCCTAACCCTAGACCGGCCGGAAAACTCTGCTCGCCTTGTAGCGAAGATCGACCTGCCGCGTGCTCCTCGCGCTTCGCCGCCTATTACCATAGGCTGCTATTTACGCTTTACACACGCTCCAGAGGGCAGCCACTATTGCTGACCTTCTCTTGTCTTACCGAGATACCGAGCCACTAAAACGCGCGTTGAAGGGTCTCCACAAAGGCCAAGGCTGGGAGAACACAATAGTCTGAAATGAGTCAAATCACAATAACCTGCTAGCACAATGAGAATGATGAAGTGAAGTAAACGGTGTAAGGGGAAACAAAATCTGAAGATTGGTTATGGCGGCTCCCATGCTCAGCTGCTGCAAAGCGTCTATAACCCAATTGCAGCCAAAGCCTCAGGCGCGAAATAGCCTACGCTTCTTGCTTTGGAGCGTGCCTTTTAGCGTGAGTGCTTGTCCTGCAGCAGGAATCTACAAAACTGCGATCTCGTTCTCACGCTCTTGTATTGAAGCCTTAACTTCTGTCGCTGCTCGATGATATGGCAACTAGATTGAATAGATCGAAATTCGTTTTTTTTCCACCACAGCTGAAGCGTACCGCTTCAGCTGTGGGGGTAAGGAACCGAATTTTTGTGTTTGTTTCTGATCAAAGAAATCGAAGATGACGATTCTAAGACTTTTCCTTGTGCAGCCAAAGCACTGGTCAGAGCGAAGCGCTCGTGCCCAAACCGTGCAAGCCGAGGTTCCATTTCTTTGTTATGCTCTGTTAGTAAGCATCGGGCTCTGGGGACATCGAGTGCCACTAAATAAGGTATTCGCTTCAGAGTAACGACACTTGCCCATAGTGTGGCTTAAAATCATGGTAGCCAGTTCTCTGAAGGTTTATCTCATATCACAGAAAACGTTTCTTCCTTATCCACAAATCTTTAAACAGCTTGCGAAAGAGCAAAGCAATATTACACAAGCTTCCTAACACCAAATCTAATGCTGAGGAAGTCGCACTTTTGAATCATGACGATCGGCAGTTCCGTCTGCTCTGCACAAGCTCCAAAATGGCGACGCCCACAACAATGTCGGGGAACAGAGTGCCGATGCTCTAAGCGCAGCTCATTTTGTGGCTCTAGGGTACGGTGTTTCTTCCGCCGTGCTCTAGGGACAACAAGCTCGAGAAAGTGCCCTCCAAAGTTCAATCTCCCGTCCAAAATACCATAGAAAAGGCTTCTAGCAGGCGCCCCTTTTAGAGTTTAGTATGTGACGCGTGCTTTGCTCGCTTTCCGAGGTCACGAAAACGTGGACGCTGGGCTGTGAAGATGCACTCTGGGCGATAGATTTGTAAGCACTGGGTAGGTGTCTATAGACAGAGCGAAAGCTCGCGCAGTAGAACCCAGGGATCCTGGGTTGGAGCCCCACCCCTGCCTGTTTCAAGCTTGATGAGCACCGTACCGGCGTGCGGTCGTGTATCACTGCTGCGTGATGCACGTTAAAGACCCCAGGTTAGCAGTCGTACTGCACTGGCAAAATTGCTCATCTACACTGCAACCAGTGTCGCCCCTACTGGCAGACCAACCTTACCCTGTATAAATCACTAAAACGTCCAATTTGACTTTTTGATTTTGGTAGGTGTCTATAGACCTTTCCAGCGGCAGTCTCGAACGAAGTGATTTACAGCGTGCGTCCCTGGTTTTGAGAGTGTACGTCAGTGTTGCCTGACTGTCCTGGGCTGTGGGTTTTCTCGTCATTAGGCTGCGGCCGCCTGCGTAGGCGCAATTCCAGACGCTTGTGGCGGCAAAGTCGCCTTGTTTTATTTATTTTTTTTTGTGTGTGTTCTACGGCAAAGAGAATTTCTCGGATTTTTTTAAGAAAGCATTGCACTATTTTTGAGAACAAAAACAAACAAATGAAAGCTATTTTCGGCGAGTCCGTGCGCGACAGAACCAATGCAACTGGAATGTTTGTTTCATTTTGTGTTGATCTTTTTAACGGCATCATACGCTCAGCCG